CGGCGTTACTGGCTTTTTCTCAAAAAATGGACTACAAAGTCTGTCATCAGCGATGGCGAATTGCCCTACTTTGTTGAAATGGCTGTACCATAGCATACATTTATAGGCAGCTCCCTACATAAATACATACATAGGATATTTCGATTACCTAAATCAGTGTATTAGAAAACACTGCCTGCATTAAAGCTATAGGTAGGATATTTTTATTTTCAGAGAGTAAGTAATAACATTAAACTTGTCTGTATAATACACTTGAATGTTGTATTAACATTAAAAAAAAATAAAATCTAGAAAAGCTATTTTACTATACTAAATTAATGAAATGCCCATATGCAGTAGGTCTGCTTGATGGGTTAGAACATGAGCACTGAGTCATGGGTTCTGTAGTTCAGTTGTATTTTACTCTTTGCAGTTATATATGGCTTTGTAAAACATTATATTATATATAGTGATTATAAAATACTATAAAGTATTATATTGTATTGTAGCTACTAGGGGTGGGAATCTCTAGGCACCTCACGATTCGATTCGATTACAATTCAGAGGGCTGCGATGTGATTATAAAGCGATTATCGATGCATCTCGATGCATCTTTTTTTCTATATAGCATTTATATTTTCTCTCTGTGTGAGCTCAAGTTTCGAGTTCAAGTTTCAAGTTTATTTGTCATTTGCACAACATGTCAGGACATTTATGCATTGAAATGCTTGTGGTGAGGCTCAGCTAATCACTCTACAGTAAGTAAATAAGTAAAAATAAAAATACAAGAAAAACCAACTGAAATATATTAAATATACACAAAATATACACAAAATATATACAGAATGTAGAGACAATATACATTTTAAAGTGACTAAGTGACTCGGTGTTATTGTTATTTAAAGTGACTTGGTACTTTTAAAGCAAAGTATTTGTAACAATCCATAATGAATTTACTTCCAATATCTTTTTTAATAAAACAAATGGAAGGGATGTGGCAAGTGAACTGGAAAGCTCTCATTCACTGCTCTTGTTTGGAGCACGAGAAGCTGCTGCTACTCATCTGCGATGAAATGCGCAGTAACTGTGAAATAAAATCCAGTGGCAATGGATGTTCTCGCAGCACGTTACAGCTATTCTACCCGTTTTCTTTAGTGATTTTATAACTTCGGTTTTGGTCTCGTTGTAGAGACGGGGGGGGGGTCACTGTGTCAGTAAAGTGTCTTTGAGACGGAACGTGTGCAACATAGCGCGAAAGCCCTGTTTCACAACGACTGAGAACCGGCGTGCAGACTGCAGGTCACATAGCAGCGATGCATTATTCGCATTATTCGCATTTATAAGCGGCGCAGTTGGTTTCCTGGTATGTAAAATCTGCAACGAGAGACTGTCACACACTAAAAAGTGGCGAAGCTGAAGTCGCTTCTCTTTCGAATTCTCCCGTTCCACCTTAAATGGTGCTGCATTTACATTCGGCGTGTCAGTTAGAATATAAGGTGGAACGGGAAAATTCGAACAAGAAGCTGGAGAATAAGAAGCGACTTCAGCCTTGTAAAACAGTCAAACATTGAGAAACATTTAACTGATCTACTTCTGAGGAAACGTTTTCTGGCGGAGATGGGAGGAAAGCAGCTGTAACTGAAGCTTAAAGCAGAGCGAAGTAAATCTGCATTTTCGTTTATATTGTTTAGCCCATACTAGGACATTATCACATACTGACACATACTGGACATTAAATGTTGCGGCTCCCAAGGTGGTTTGATTTTTGTTGAAAGGACAAAATGTCTCTTCTTATCATTTGGGTTTTGACTCCTGATCTAACCAGGCTTTAATGCAGAGGGAGCCGGTCGGATTTCTTCCTCATCCACTTGTGTTTTTGTTATGTGCTGCCACACACTGTCCGGGTGCTGCACTTCCACACTTCCAAGTTCCGCCTTTTGCGTTCCGTCAACATTACATTGTAAATTAAATATTTAGAAAATCGATTTTTGACATCTGTGAATCGATTCAGAATCGTTCACATCCGCATCGCGATTTTGTATGGTTGCAAAATGTCCATTTCACAAAAATCCAGCTTCAAGTGCCAAAAATTTGCCTATGGCAAAATGAACTGCATTCAAAATGTTTTGATGGCAACCAGCAAATGGCATAGCTCTCCACGTTCCTTCCTCATAGATTCATCTAATATACTACCAAAGCAAGCACCATTCTCTGCTCTTTGGAATCCTTTGGGAAGCATTTTAAAATATATTTTTATTTGAATGCATTTCACTCAAATAAATACATTTGAACATAATAAAAATAGCTAAAATCTTTAGTAAAAAGCTAAAAACGAGAAAAATATATTTTTGACTACTTACTGCAGATGTAACGGGCAGAACCATTGTATTAGATGATGATTTTGTAACATTTCCATGGAAAAAACATATGTTGCCTCAAATATTGAGCTTAAGTGCCTTAAGAATGATTAAACTGAGCTAGGGCTGAAAATTCGTTTTTGATATTGTAATCGATCTTAATCGTTTTCATGTTGAAATTGCAATTTTAAAGAGTAGAGTTTACAGCAGTGCAGACTGCAGATCACCACAGCAACACAGACAAGAAATCTCGCCTAGCTAGTAGCCTACAAAAAGGCAAAGAGAGAGATTTAAGATGAACATTGACCTGAATGGAGCTAAATGGATTTATTTGCATTTATAAGCACTCAGCTGGTCTCCAGATACATTTAATCTGTAATGAGAAACTTTCAAACACTAAAACATTGTGAAGCTGAAGTTAGCTTCTTGTTTGAATTGTCCGCCATTTAAGGTAGAACAGGAAAATTCGAACAAGAAGCTGGAGAATGGAAGCTGACTTCAGCCTTGTAAAAAGTTGATTGTTAAGAGACGTTGTACAAGAAACTGTTCTACCTTTGAGGAAACGTTTCCTGCCAGAGATGTGAGAAAAGTGGCTACAGCTGAGCTAAAGCTTAAAGCAGAGCAAAGTGAGTCTGTGTTTTTGTTTGTATTATATTATTATCCTATACTAGTACATCAGCACATACTGAGACATATTTAAAGCCAAGACAGTAAAATGGACATAAAATGTTGCTCCCAAAGCTGTATATGTGCCATCACAACTAACTGGTAGTCTTTTGCACTCAGCATTCAGATGTCCTGCCAGAAAAAGCGGAAATTCTGGTCTTCTTGACCAAAAAACAGTCCTGGAAATTAATTTATAAAAATTAACTGCATTTAAATCGCAATCACAGTATTGGTGAGAAAAATCTCAGCAAGATATTCTCCCCAAATTGTTCAGCCCTAAACTGAGCTGAATATTGACTACATTGTCGCAACAGGAAAGACCTTGAGTTTGAGCTATGAGTATCAGAAGACAAGACTTGAGAACTCTGACATAAAAAACATACATCCTTAAATTAACCTGCTGTGGGAATGTATTACCAAGTGTATTTATGTTCAAGTACTAATCCAGTTCAGTCATTCTTTAAGAAGTTAAATTCAATATTTAAGACAGGATTAAGAATTAAGATTCTTTAAAAGAACTTTTAAAATTCATAACAGAGCACAGCTTTGCTTGCATGAACTAGACAGAAATTTAGCTTCACTTTTATTTTATTTTTTTTTGACATTTTTTGGGATCCTTGATGTAATCTGCCAGACTCTAGGAAAGTTGGCACAAACTGACCCATGAATCTTGCACAAAAAAGACACAAATTTGGTTTGTTAGTAGACCTGTTCATGAATTTATGGTGGTTTTTGAGATTTAGATGCAGTTTAGCTATAAATTAAATTACTTTGCACATGTTTCTTTGACTTCTACAGCTTTTGCATGAGGATTTAGGCCTGAAGCATGAAGACAGTGATATAGAGCTACAAATACTAGATGCAGTCAGCTTGCTAGCTGTTTTTAAAGACGAACCAAATTCAGAACAAAGAATTTCTACTGGGCAGAATGGTAGAGAGCAGTCCTTGATGGGGGGTTTGGAGGATGGACTCAGTTTGACTGTTCATGTTAATGGACAGACCACCACAGAGATCCAGGAAGCTGTTTGTGAAAATGAAAAGCAGCTAACGCTTCAGGAGCTGGAGGAAGGATCTCTACAGTGTGAGCATGAAGCAAACCCTGTGCAGATGTTCAACACTGTGTTCAGCGGTGGAGACCAGCAGACACAGTTAAAGATGTGTTCAGTGAAGCTGGTGGACTGCAGGAAAATGATTAACCCTGATAACCATGTCCATACTAGTAAGTGCAAACTACTGCCAAACATGCTTAATGCTGATTTTGGACTATTTATTGTAATTTTGGGCAGTCCAAAAAGTGGGGGCAGTGCAGTGACTGGCTTAACATACACTATATTGCCAAAAGTATTCACTCACCCATCCAAATAATTGAATTCATGTGTTCCAATCACTTCCATGGCCACAGGTGTATAAAATCAAGGCATGCAGACTGTTTCTACAAACATTTGTGAAAGAATGGGTCGCTCTCAGGAGCTTAGTGAATTCCAGTGTGGTACCGTGATAGGATGCCACCTGTGCAACAAGTCCAGTCATGAAATTTCCTCGCTACTAAATATTCCACAGTCAACTGTCAGTGGTATTATAACAAAGTGAAAGCGTTTGGGGACGACAGCAACTCAGTCACAAAGTGGTAGGCCACATAAAAGTGAGTGGGGTCAGCGGATGCTAAGGTGCATAGTGTGCAGAGGTAGCCAATCACTACAGACCTCCAGACTTTATGTGGCCTTCAGGAACAGTGTAGAGAGCTTCATGGAATGAGTTTCCAAGGCCGAGCAGCTGCATCCAAGCCTTACATCACCAAGCGCAACGCAAAGTGTCGAATGCAGTGATGTAATGTAGTGCCGCCACTGGACTCAGTTGAGACGTGTTCTCTGGAGTGACGAATCATGCTTCTCCATCTGGAAATCCGATGGACGAGTCTGGGTTTATGCCGTTGCCAGGAGAACGGTACTTGTCTGACTACATTGTGCCAAGCGTTAAGTTTAGTGGAGGGGGGATTACGGTGTGGGGTTGTTTTTCAGGAGTTGGGCTCGGCCCCTTAGTTCCATTGAAAGGAACTCTTAATGCTTCAGCAGACCAAAATATTTTTGACAATTTCATGCTCCCAACTTTGTGGGAAAAGTTTGGGGATGGCCTTTTCCTCTTCCAACATGACTGCGCACAAGTGCACAAAGCAAGGTCCATAAAGACATGGATGAGTGAGTTTGGTGTGGAAGAATTTGACTGGCCTGCACAGAGTCCTGACCTCAACCTGACAGAACACCTTTGGGATGAATTAGAGCGGAGATTGTGAGCCAGGCCTTCTCGTCCAACATCAGTGTCTGACCTCACAAATGCACTTCTGGAAGAAAGGTCAAAAATTCCCATAAACACACTCCTTAACTTTGTGGAAAGCCTTCCCAGAAGAGTTTAAGCTGTTATAGCTGCAAAGGGTGGGCCGACATCATATTAAACCCTATGGATTTAGAATGTGATGTCACTCAAGTTCATATGCATGTGAAGGCAGATGAGCGAATACTTTTGGAAATATAGTGTATGTAATAAGGAGAGAAAAAAACGTCAAAATCTGGAGAAAAAGCTTTTTATGTTGACTACATTTTATCAGTAGTTTCATCAATCATATAAAAACATTCCTGAATCCTGCCAAAATAATAAAATCAACCTAATTGGGTAAACTTATGCCTAATTAAGCCCTTGATTTAATTAACAACACTTTTAAAAAACTACTTGTCTTATTTTCTTTACAGGTGAGCCAAGCCAGTTGTTGCCCAGCAGTGAGGACAGATGTATAAGTGGAGAACTGATTCAAAAGAAAGAGATGAGCCGAAGAGGAAGGCCTAAGAAATCTTCCTCATCTTCACAACACTTAAACAAACATGGTGAACACAACAGACGGAGGGCAGACCTTAAAGCCCATCAAGTGACGCATATTAAAGAAAAGGCTCACAAGTGCTCTCAGTGTACTAAGTCCTTCGGGATTGCAACAAGACTTAGAAAGCATCAGAGAATTCACATGAGAAAAAATCCTCACCAGTGCACCACTTGTGGGGAGAAGTTTTTACATGCTTCAGTGCATAGGAACCATCAAAGCGTCCATACGAAAGAAAAGCCTTACCACTGCTCCCAGTGTGATAAGACCTTTGCTTGGTCAAAAGGTCTCAGAGCCCATCAGACAATACACACAGGAGTAAAGCCTTACCACTGTTCTCAGTGTGGGAAAGCCTTCTCTTACTTTTCTAGCCTAAAACAGCATCAGCGAACACATACAGGAGTAAAGCCTTACAGGTGTTCTCAGTGTGGGAAAACCTTCTCTCAGTCTTGTAACCTTAAAATGCATCAGCGAGTACATACTGGAGAAAAGCCTTACTCGTGTTTTCAGTGTGGGAAAACCTTCTCTCAGTTGTCCCACCTTAAAAGGCATCAGCGAACACATACAGGAGTAAAGCCTTACTCGTGTCCTCAGTGTGGGAAAACCTTCTCTCAGTTGTTTAGCCTTAAAAGGCATCAGCAAACACATGCAGGAGTAAAGCCTTACTGGTGTTCTCAATGTGGGAAAACCTTCTCTCAGTTGTTTAGCCTTAAAAGGCATCAGCGAACACATACATGAGTAAAGCCTTACAGGTGTTCTCAGCGTGGGAAAACCTTCTCTCAGTTGTCTAGCCTTAAAACGCATCAACGAGTACATACTGGAGAAAGGCCTTACCAGTGTTCTCATTGTGGAAAGACTTTCTCTCAGTTACCACACCCTAAATACCATCAGAAAACACGTGCTGCACAGAAGACTTAACATCATCTGGGGTCCAAAGACATTGTGGAGACAACAGTCAGGTTGGACAGATAATAACTCTGGATAGCACAAGGATAACTTTCTGTCCTCTTTTGTCTATATTAGAAGAGTAATGTTCATGAAAAATGTGTTAGTGATCTACAGCAACTCAAGGTTCAGAAACAGCACTCTTCATTTTAAGCATCACTTTTCTTGCTTCTAAATTTGGTCAAGGGGATAAAGTTAATATTTGTGAATGGTAGACACAGGTTTACATGTTCATTGTTTGTTGTTCATTGTTTCAGTTGCAACCATGTAGCTTCTTGTTTCTACTCTTACTGTCCACTTTATCAGCTCCACTTACCATATAGGAGCACTTTGTAGTTCTACAGTTACAGACTGTAGTCCATCTGTTTCTCTGCATCTTTGTTACCCTGTTCTTCATTGGGCAGGACCCCCATGGACCCTCACAGAGCAGGTAAAGTCAGAGGCGTTAGCTCATCTGCTGCTGCACAGTTTGTGCTGGTCATCCTCTAGTCCTTCATCAGTGGTCACAGGACGCTGCCCACAGGACGCTGTTGGCTGGATATTTTTGGTTCTCAGTGCAGCAGCAACACTGAGGTGTTTAAAAACTCAGCACAACCCACACTAACACAACACCACGTCAGTGTCACTGCGGTGCTGAGAATGATCCACCACCCAAATAATACCTGCTCTGTGGGGGTCCTGACCATCAAAGAGCAGGGTAACAAAGTATGCAGAGAAACAAATGGACTACAGTGTGTAACTGTAGAACTACAGAATGAAACTAAATGGTCAGTGGAGCTGATAGAATGGACAATGAGTGTAGAAAAAAGGAGGTGTACCTAATAAAATGTTATAACTTGATAAAATGTTAAGGTTGTTAATGTATGTTTTGTTCATTATGATCATTTAATTAGTGAAGGAACTTGTTCAAAAATGTATTTTTATTTCCAGTTAATTTTACAATTTAGTGTGTCTGCTGTAAATATAAAGTGCATAATAATACATTATGCTTTCTCAGTCATTTTGAAATTTTCATTTTGTACATCTCTAAGATTTTTCAGATTTATTTACAACTTCCTAGTGTCATTTTAATTATTTTTAAAAACCTGTGATGTTGAGGAGGAGCCTATTAAAATAGTTTTATTGATTTGTCTATAATCTCTCGTTTTATATTGTTAAAATTAGTGATTCAAACTTTTATGAAGCTAATATATCTACTCATGCTTCAGTGAACAGCCTCCCAAAACTGATCCTGCCAGTGCCCCAGAGTCTCTGATTACCAAGACTCTCTGATTGCCAGGGCCCTCTCACTGCCAGAAGTCTCTGATTGTTAGGGGTTTGTGACTGCCAGGGCCCTTTGATTGCCAGGAGTTTCTGACTGCAGGGGCCCTCTGACTGCCAGGAATCTCTGATTGCCAGGGCCCTTTGACTGCCAGGGGCCCTCTGACTGATAGGAGTCTCTGAATGCCAGGGGTTTCTGCCTGCCAGAGGCCTCTAACTGCCAGGGGTCTCTGACTGCCTGGGGCTCTGACTGTCAGGAGTCTCTGACTGCCAGGTGTCCCTGATTGCCAGGGGCTCTCTGACTGCCAGGGTTCTCTTACTGCCAAAAGTCTTTGCGGGGTTACGGTTGTAATGGCGGCTTAGGCAGACGTGCGTGGTCCGGCTCCCCAGAGCATTGTTAAATTAACAGCGAACAGGTGACGTTTTACACTTTCGTTCTTAGTAAAACATTTGTTTTAAGACCGTGGACTCCTTTTATACTAAAAATGTCAAGACAGCTGAGAGAGAAGGCTGGCTCTAAGCCAATTTCTTCCACCTCCGCCATTGCGCAAGCATCCCGATGAGCTGATGTTGCTATACCGGTGCTAACCGCAAGCTCTTCCCAGTCGGAGAGCGCTTCCCTCGGGCCTTCCCCCCCGATGACCCTGGCACTACAAATCGCTCGAATTCTGCTGAAAATGGATCTTCCCAAACCCCTCCTTCGAAGAGGACCTTAGCCTTCGATGATGACACCCCACCGAGATGGTTTACGGCTTTTGGCGTGGAATTCAACCACAAAATGGAGAAAACTATCAGTGTTCTGAACGAATCACTTCAACCGATTCGCGAGAGACTCGATTCCCTGGAGCGGATATTCAAATCCTTCAGGAATAACATTGCTGAACTCGAGTCCACTACGGCTGCCCATGACACTCGGTTGGAACAACTTGAACTGGAATGTCGCTCACTTAAGCAGGTAAACACCTCCCTGGCTGAGAAAGTAGACGAGCTGGAAAACCGCTCTAGGAGGTGTAACCTACGTATTATTGGAATCCCTGAAGGTCTGGAGTCAAATGATCCAATCGGATTCACTACGGAGCTCCTCAAGGAATTGTTTGGTCCCGGTCTATTTCAAAGCCAACCGATCATCGAGAGGGCCCACCGGCTGGGCCGCTCACCTGCTGCGGGAGGGCGGCCGGTGGAAGACCCAGAGCTATGATTATCTTCTTTCATAGCTTTCAAGACAAGGAGCGAACCCTGAGAAAAAGCAGAGACAAGCTTCTTTACAAGGGTCACAAGCTAAGTATTTTTCCGGATTACAGCATGGATCTCTCTCGCAGACGAGCTGCCTTTCAGCAAGTCAAAGCAACTTTGTTTCAGAGAGGAGTTCGCTTTACGCTCCTCTACCCCGCAAGACTCAGAGTCATTGTGAATGGCGTGGCCAGGATCTTTGATACGCCTGATGCTGCGCAGAGGTTTTGCAAGGAACATGCAACTCGTTGACCTGACTGAACTGTAGCCTCAGGAATGGTTGTTTCTGAGGTTAGTGCGACAGTGGGTTGGGCCTCATTCTCCTACGTCATTTACCAATGTTCATACTAGGGCCTATATAGTGACACTTTAAAATTTGGTTAAGGACTTGGTATAAGATCTTTAAATCTTCAAACCATACTTTTGCATTACATATTTGGTTTCTACATGGTTCTTATTCTATTTTAAATGCTTAATGTTCTCATTTGTAATTGTCCTGTCCAGGTCCCAAGAGACTTTAAGTAGCTTATCATGTGAGATGTTTAGTATGGTTCTTAACCTGTTCGCTGTTTTACTTCTTTGTTGATGGCGGTGGGGAGCTGGGAGTGGAAGCTAGGTTTTTTTTTTTGAGTGGAATCTGTTACTTAGGGAGAGAGAGGTGGTGCATGGCTTTAAGAACCGTCTCCGGGAGCTCAAGTTCAAGTTGGAAGGTTATGTCATGGGTTTTTTCTCTATTGGGGTTTATTTTAAATGGGTTTTTTTTTTTCTTTTTTCTTCTTCCCCCTTTTTCCTCTCCCGCACTATTATCTCTTAGGCTTACTTTTACCATATGTCTACAATAAGGAAGAACACTAACCAACACAATCCGGTAAGATTTATCTCATGGAACGTTAAAGGTTTGCAGGCCCAGACTAAAATGGTAAAGGCTTTTTCTCATCTCAAAACACTAAGTGCAGACATTGTGTTCCTTCAGGAAACCCACCTATCTGGAGCGGAACATACTAGACTGCGTAAATCTTGGGTCAACCAAGTTTTCTATTCTAATTATAACACAAAGGCTAGAGGGGTTGCTATTTTCATTAATAAGAGGACCCAGTTCATTCCACTGAACATAATTTCAGACCAACAAGGTAGATATGTTATTGTTTCAGGTCTCCTGTTCCAGGTCCAGGTGCTATTGGTAAACATATATGCTCCAAATTGGGATGATGAGGACTTTGTAAATAGGCTTTTATCTATTCTTCCTAATTTAGATATGCATAAACTTATTCTTGGAGGTGATTTAAACTGTGTCATGAACCCAACACTAGATCGATCTAGCTCGAAATTGCTCTCAACTTCAAGAATGGCCTGATCTCTATCTTTGTTCATGGAGGACAATGGCTGTGTTGATCCCTGGCGATCACTTCACGCTTTTACTAAATTATTTTCTTTTTTCTCTTCACTACATAGATCTTATTCTCGCATTGATTGTTTTTTCATTAATAGTGAACACCTTGAGTCAGTTACCCACATTGATTGATTTCCGAGAAGTCTTCTCCTGAGCTGTTAAAATCACGAACGGACCTTCAAGCAGAGTTTAATCTACTTGCTACAAAAAAAGCTGAGGCTTTTATCTTGCGCTCACGTGGCTTAGTATATGAATATGGTGATAAAGGCAGTCGATTATTTGCTCACCAGCTCAGGAGACTTACCGCCTCTAGACTAATTCCTCAAATTAAAGACTCTACAGGTAATTTGACTTCTCATCCCAAGGAAATCAACAAGATTTTTGCTGACTATTACTCCTTGCTTTATACATCTGAACACCACCCCAAACCAGATATTATGTATTCTTTTCTGAACGATTTACAGCTTCCCACTTTAGACCCTAACACGGCACAGAACCTGGACAGCCCCATCACACTTCAGGAAATTGCAGAAGCAATTAGCTCGATGAGTAGTGGTAAAACACCAGGCCCGGATGGTTTTGGTATAGAGTTTTATAAAAAGTTCAAAGATAAACTATCGCCACTTCTCTTGGAAGTGTTTAACGAGTTGCTAAACAGGCTGCTTACTCAGGCAACAATCTCGCTTATCCTGAAAAAAGACAAAGACCCAACCTTATGTGGCTCTTACCGACCAATTAGTTTACTCTGCAATGAGCATAAAATCCTGGCAAAAGTGATAGCCAAACGTTTAGAGCCTGTCCTTCCTTCAGTCGTCTCAGATGACCAAACTGGGTTTATTAAAGGTCGGTACTTGTTCTCAAATATCCGTAGACTTTTGAACATTGTATTTACTTCTAGCTCTTCTCCTGTCTC